GCCGAAGCTCCGTCGATCTCAGTGAAGGTGAAGTCATGTCGTGCGAGCGCCGATTTTGTCACCACGGACTTCCAAGATGGTTTCGCAGTTTGCGGTTGTGTAACCGGTTCCTGCGAGCCCTCCGAGCCCTGCGAGCCCACAAACGCAGGCTCCTCCATGCGAGCTGACGGCGGGGGAAGTTGCCCGAAGACCCTGTCCCTTGCCTTCGAGAGTGAAAACCGCCGGAAAATCGCTTGAGAAATCGCCAATAAAATCGCCTTTTGCTGACGTGGAATCGCACCCCTAGCAGTTGATGAATCTCGTGACATACCTTACAGTCTGCGTCAGGGCGAAAACTACAAAATTTCTCGCGACCAGAGAAGAAATCAAGGCAGGTAAAACGTATCCTGCGGCTTGATGGATCCAGAATTTTACGACAAACCTAATKAAAATCAAAATGATAGGACTCAATGTGAGAACTAAGCAATTTGTTGATCAAAACYATAAAAACACGAACACAAGATACTTCAGGCAAATTTCTCTGCCTTTTCTTTTTGGCTTTTTCATTTATATAGGAAGCAAATTGGAACAAACCGTTCCTACTAAACGTGAGACATGAAGTGCTTGGTCCTAAAGTATAGGAAGCAGATCACGACTTTGATTATTTGCTGAAACAAAGAAAACATCAATTGAAACATGGACTAAGTCAAACCGGTGTATGAGTTTGGTTTCTTCAATCGGTTTGATCGCTGGTTTAGCACTGAACCAATTGGTGACTCATCACAAAAGCTAGACTTGTTAGATTCCGAGCAAAATCCGAGACGGAAGAGATAAGATTCTAACTAGAATCATGATGAYATGAGAATAATCGAAATCAGACCCTGCAGGGGCGGCCAAAGACGACGAGCAGATCACGAACACCGATCTCGCGCGCTGACCTTCGTACTGAACGTCATCGCCTCGTCGTTGGTGCGAACATCGATATTCATATCGATCGGCAGCTCTGGCGTAACCTAGACGGAAGAAGAAGGAGTCTCTATTTACCCTAAWTTATTCTTCTCGCTAGGCTTGCCGTTCATATATAAAACTTTCCTGATTTTATATATGTTTGAATCTTTGATGTCTTGATCATAACTTTTATATATAGGATTTCTACATACCAATATTATTCTTAAATTTATTTTAAAATCT